CCCCCCCCCCTGTGGGAAATCTTTTTTTTCCCGTCGGATGGTTCAGCGAGCACACTTGCTCCTCGTCAGCTGCACCTTTCCTGACAGGTCCACGGCCGCACGCAGTCACACCCCGGGGCTGTCAAAACTTCAGCTGTTGCACACGGAGCGTCTCTTTTTACAGCAGCTGGGAGGGTCTCGGAGCTCGGTGGGCACACTGACACTGACAGTTTCCTTCATGAGCTAAACTGTGACTACATCTGCCCGAGACTAGCAGGAAAAATCCTCAACAACTGGTGTGTTTCTCCCCCCTCATCTCTGCACAGCTTCAAGTCAAATGGAATCAACCATTTGTCAAATACAAAACGTCAGAGATCCTCCTCTTTGACATCACTTCCTGTTGCCTCACATGCAAATATCTCAAYTACCGTTCATGTCAGCRATATGAYRTTTTTTRTACRATATTTTATCAATGTCRTTGTTACAAAAATGCATTCATATSTATYACAAAAATTTGATGTCACAGACACTTTAACACCCACTGCTGAAGGTGGAGGAGCATCATGTTTTTGCAAAATATTTCAAGAACCAAAGGATAGATTTTAAATTTTTGAAWACACAAAAATAGGTATGATTCTGCAAATTTGGCTTATAATGTGCTAAACATTGATGTGGTAGCAGCAGAGTCGTTCACAACCCACTTTTAGCTGATGCTAGTGCACAAGATTGTGCAAAGAATGTTTTCTAAGTTCAACCAAAATGGCAACAACTCAGCCCAAGATGATTTTCTTCTCTTCAAATTTTCCTTAAAGGAATTCCAGACCTTTAATTATTTCTATTATTGGCTGCTGCTCAACAGGCTGAACTCCGACAGACACGAGAAGAGAGAGACCGGTAGCTAATAAGCCACAACTCCTGCTGAGCTGCCCGATCAATAGCTCTCCATTTCAATTAGCACCGGGTGAGCATTAAGACGCAGACAGCAGAGGAGATACTGTTGCTGGTAATATAATTTCATGATGCAGTTCTGAGAAAAGCTCAGATGTTGATCGATAATGTGATGAGGAGAAGGGATGGGGGAGAGAAAAAGAACGCTTGATGTTTAATGTGGTGATGGTGGTTAGGTGTTTCACCAGTGCACTGCTTTCAGTCTAATTTAACATTTTGAATTTAATTAAGAGAAAGAAAACAGAGAGAACAGGAGGACRGTGGAAAGTCGGTGCCATGTGGAAAAGGCTGCATTATAAATATTCCATCGCTGCACTCTCCAAGTGTTTGAGCGTGTGTGTTGCTTGTTTTATAGAGCATAAGTAAAGTTTTTGAAGCATGATCAAGAGTTTCTTTTGTCTATATTTGCAGACAGGTTGACTAAGAAACAAGAAAGGAGGGCGCAAACTGAAAAGTTTCAGCTCCAGTTTTGAAGTGAGCAGCTCTGGAAAACTTCACCATGGAGCGATTCAAAAATTTAATCTCTTCAGGACCTCAGACTGTAAATTAGAGGGGWAAGTGTTGTGCAGCCTGTAAAAATCTGTAAAAACTAAAGAAATGCTCTTTATCACCCAAAGATATGTATGTATGTTTGTGTTTGTGTGCACACAAAAACACAAAATCAGCTTTAAGTCAGTCATTTTTACAGATATYAACCTAAAGGTTGGTGTGTTTGTAGCTGAGAGTAATCACAAGCACATAATCAAGCTTTTTGTTTGAAATGTTGCCAYTAATTATTTGGAGTCAACTCTGTTAGCAAAATATCTCAAGCTCCACTACATGTATTTTAATGAAACTTTCAGGAAACTTTTGTTAGATGGACTTGTGCAAAAGATTAACTTTTGGAGGCAACATAATACAAAATGGCTGCTACTGCCAATTCAACTCAGAAAACACAGAAATGCAAATAACTCAATCAATTTAACAGACACTGCCTTAAAACATGGTGTGGTAGTAGCTGAGAGTCCATCATAACACATACTCTTTGCAACTATTTTTTTTTTGTTTAAAACAACTTTTAAAGTCAACCTTGTTTGTCTGTTGGCAAAACATCTCATAAACCACATGACGGATTTGAATGAAACTCTCAGGAAGAAATCGTTGCATGAGCCTCTGCAACTAATTAACTTTTTGAGACTAACCAAATTAAGATGGCTGCCACAGTTACCTGATCTTAAAAAATACAAAAATAGCTATAATTCAGTCAGTTTTACAGAAAATTAGCAGAAATTTGATGTGGTTGTAGCTGAGTCATTCTCTGAGCATGTCTTGCAAAGTTGCAGTGATGCAAAATGATGTCATCATTTCTTTYACAAAAGATCTTAAAGTGAAACTTGAGTATTTTAAGTGATAATCACTGCTAAAAATAATTGCTTTTCCAAATTCTAAGTTTATTAAAGGAATAATAAAATAACACTGACTGGTTTAAATCTCAGCTTCGGTCTATTTTTTGCTTCTCTCTCCTAGTGTCAACTTGGCATTCATTTCAAAGCACTTCTGCAGCATTAAAACACTTATTAAAGATTAAATAATCTGCCAAAGACAGGCCGTCCGTCACRTGTGTGTCCTTAAAAAGCGGAGAATTAGAAAGGGAGAGAAAAACAGTGACCTGAAACGAAAGAACGAGGAGRAAAAARAAGAGCTGCGAGCTACAATTTAATTTTTGATCCAAAGCAGCAGCGACTGATGCACACTTGTGTGCTTTGGACACTTGTAGGTCACTCTGTGTGTGTGCATGTGTGTGTGTGAGTGATGTTGTGCACTCAGCTGTGCAGGCTGCCTGGGAAATGTGCCGAGTTGACAGAAACACAGCAATGTGAGTGTGTATGTGTGTGTGTGAGTGAGTGTGTGCAACAAGATGCAGCTACTTCACTCAAGCTTTTGTTATATTTATGACGGTGGATAAGCGCCGCAGAGTTTAAACGCTGCTGCATGTTGGGGTTTTTTTCTCCTCTGATTTGTCATCTGAACGCCTGGAAACTCCTCATCTTGTATTTGACCTTGGTACAAAGTGAAAGCCACCAGGCTGCACTAACACCATTACAAGCTGGTCCCAGTGCAGTGACAGGAAAATCTGCTGTTAACCCTTTAAAGCTGCCGTCATCTGACAGATGGCCACTAGAGGGCGGAAACGAGCTCACACAGGCAAAAATCCAATTAAATTATGCCTTTTAAAAAGATCTCTCATAAACAACTGGTTTATTATTTATGTCAAACAAAAGATAATTATATTTTATTTTTAATATATTTTGCTACCAATTACTTAATTTGAGCTGACTTTATGTTTATAATAGCTATTTTTCAGTATTCTTGAGCTCAACATTTTTTGCACATTTATACAGGAAAGTGTCAGTAAGCTGTTTGTTGATGAGATGTTTTTTTATTAATTATTTTGAAGCAAACTCATGATTTACCTGTTCAATCTGGGGTTTAATTCAATTATTTATTCTCTTTTGGTTTTATTGTTTTAAATCAGCTCCTAATTGAATTATTTTTGCATTAACCTCAGGGAAACAATTGTAACATTTGTTTTAACCTCCATTTATTCCATTTACCTCTCATTTTTTTACTGTTTTGGTTTTATTCATGCTTTAAATTTTGAACCCACATTTTTATACTTTTATATCTTTTTCTATAGCATTTCATCAGTGTTAAAACGTTTCCTTCAGCCACTTCATGTTCCAGTCAGCACTGTTTAATTTTTTTTACAAATACTGCTGTTTGAAATCATCTCTGCTGTGGTTTTTGTTGGTTGCTTTGCTTTTATCTGTTTCTTATCTGCTGTAAAGACAGCAAGGTGCTTCATAATTAATAATTTATTTGATAAACTGTGATTATTAAGGATGTTAATTTGACCTATAAGGACTGATTTTTACTTCAGTGAGAGAAATGTCTTAAACATACTCATAAAAGTCTTATTAACACTGAGCTTTAAGATTAATGATTGATACTCATATCAAAATGCATTATTGTGGTTTAGGTTTAGCTCCTAACCCTTACTTTCTGTTTTTTTTCCAGCATTTATTCTTCAACCTCAAAGAATTACTCTCTCAGTTGGTATTGCATTTAGCCTGAAAATCCAGGATTATGCAGCATGTGGGAACCATTTGAAGTTGATCTAGATGAGAAAATGTTTTGAAATGTGTGTAAAGAGACTCACGTGTGTTGGTTTGAGGAACATAATTGGCACCAGAACAACAGGGAATCCCTGTGTTTCTGTGCTGGTGACATAATCCATTATTTACCATGCAGACATCTCAACTCTGTTGCTTCTCTGTGGGGATTTTTCCTTTTTCTGCCTACCTCAGCTAAACTGAACATGTCTTCTGTAAAGTTCATAAGAATAAAATCGATATTTTGTAAATATAAATGCCTCTTTRTTCACTTTTATGCTGCTTTTGGGTGACAATTATAATAAAACAGGGACTGTTTGAGGTAAATCGAGCTGCTGGCGAAGCAGTGACCCAGATAAAAGGTGTAGACCAACCACCTGGAATACACTTAGTTTTGCTTACATGCAACCTTTTCTGTTTGGAGGGTTTCTTGTGCATGCAGCTCTAAAAATGCATCCCAGGAAATATCCCTTTAAGAGAATATCCATCATTAGAAAGCTTTTCTTTATAGAAAGTTCACATTTAGAAGTAAAAATATCACCTGAGTTCAACCACTTTTCCTCCTCTTAAACGATGCTGTTCTAAATCTGAGGGATTAAAGGAAACAAGAGAATACCCCAGGTGAAATGTGTGTGAGACTATACCTTTGTCATGATGATGGAACCGCAGACTGAGCTCTTCTCTCCGGCTGTAGGAGCTCTCCAGCTCAGCAGCTGAGAAATCATCCAGTTTGACTTTCTTCACTAAGAAAGAGCGAGGCATGGCTGCACTTTATCCTTTTCTAACCCACTTTAAAAATAGCCTGATGAAAGGAATTAGCTGATTTTTAACATGTAAAAGTCCTTTTATTTGATTAAAAGTGGAGACATGGCTTTTAAAATAAAAAACAAGCCCCTCTCTGTGATTTCTCCTCCTTTTTTCCTGCTTATTTTCTGTGTAAAATGTTGGTTAGGGTTAGAAAAAACTCAGAGACAGAATCTGAACCGGGTCTTGAAAAGGTTTGGTTGTTTAAAAGTGTCCCTCGTGGTTGGTTTGTTGGTTTTATCCCGTCACAGCTCCGCTCTCTCTCACAGGCTCGTGGTTTCAGCACCGGACAGCTCCTCTCAGGCGCGCGACTCTCCAGCAGCTTTCAGAGTAAAACGCATCAAAACAAAAGCGAAAGAAGCAGAAATTTGACTCAAGACTCGTGTAAAATTCCAAGCGCAGGCGATGCAACGAGATTTGATGTTATTAACAGAAAACAAATGCCTCCAAAAAAAGAAGCTGCAGCGAGTTGGTTGAAGTCCCAAACACAGGTTGTCCCGCTTCAGAAACGTCACAAAAACACGAGCGTCTCCTTAAAAATGCTGCTTTGAAAAAAAGTGTTTGAAGCTGGAAGCATCGGAAGACTCCGGGTCTGTGAGTTCTGTCTGACTTCTCCCTCTCTCCTCTGGAGCTGCAGCTCTCTGAGATGCACGAGATCAGCTGTTGCAGCTTTATAGGGTGCAGAGAGAGAGAGAGAGAGAGAGAGAGAGAGAGAGAGAGAGAGAGAGAGAGAGAGAGAGAGA